TTTGCAAAATATCCTCACCAGGATCTGATACAAAGTCAGATCTCTCTCTGATTTTAGAATTAGGTCTGGAGAAATGTCATTTAATACTAGAGTGACTCAGTTGCCTTACTCAAATGTTAGCATTCGTCTCCCCAAAAGTGCCACTGTGGTTTTAAAAGGATTATTTTGTTAAAGAATATTGAGATGCATGCAGTGCTACACAGTGCTATTTCTACAATATCACTTTTGTAGACTGTTTACTTATAAGATAATTATGCAACATGGTAGAAAGTCATATTCTTTTCATAGAGTTGCTTAATCACTTTAAAAATATAATTGGAGAATTATGACCCTGTTATAGAATTCTTTAGGATGTTTCAAATGCTATAGAGATACCTTTATTCTTATATTCTTTAGAATCCTGGAAAAAGGCTGCTTCAAATGCTACCTAATAGCTGAAATTATTTTTACTTTACTCTTTCTGTATACATTCTCTTCTACTTCATAGTGGAGACCAAATGCAAAAAGAGTAAGGGCTTCTAACTAGAAATTTAATATAACTAATTAATAAACCCTGTTTTGGCCTGGAATGAAGAGAGCTGTTATTCGACTGCAGAGGATGTGGTAGAGTTGTTCACCTCTGTTTCCAACGTGATTTGGCCAGGATTCTGCAAGGATCTGTGCACAGACATCTGCCCCAGCAGCAAACCCGATGACTTCAGGGGGTCTGTGACTACTCCAGGGGTCCTTCAAGACTCATTGGGCTGCAGAAAGCAAGTGCTATTAAACCAGGCTGGAGGGGGAAAAAAAGCTTCAACAGTTGTTTCCATGCAGGAGGTGAATGAAACAGAGCTTATGGCCCATGATCCATTAACCTCTTTTCCACTGTAGGTAGCACAGGTGGGGTTGAACATTTTGGTTCCCTCTGATGGAGATGAGGAGAAACAATGGTGCTTCCTCCCATCCCTGGCCACCATTCTGTGCACTGAGCTCCTGTGCACAGAGGAACTTTGCTCTCTTCACTCTTGCTGGGCTTTTTTAACTAAAAAGAGCAGTTGCTGGCACAGAGCTTTGCGCAGGTGCTCTGCTATGAGTCCCCTGCAGCCATGCAGGCAAGCTGAGCTTGAGTAGGTGCTGAGCTAGACAGCACTGTCAAGACGAGGTGTTTGGGGCCTATGGAAGCAAGACTTCAGCCCTAGGGAACCTGAAGGTCAAAAGAAAGAGGCTCAACAAAGATGAGCTGCCATCTGAACAAGGCAGCAGTGCACCAGAGGACTTGGGTGAAGCACAGGCACCTCCCTGCCACTTTGGGTTGCTGTGCCTCATTTTGGAGTCTGACAGTGCTTTCAGTCAATGGTGTTGTGTTTTTCACCCCAACTGGAGTGGGTGAAACCAGAGAACCAGAGAACCATCCACTTGCACGCTGAACGCTGTTTCCACCGAAGAGCATGATCACATCGTCCCACTGCTCATAGCTCTAATTATTTGAAGCCTGGAAGCACCAAACGTTGTCAGGGTCGTGCTGTGAYAGGCTTTGTCACACACTGAAATGAAGCCGTGCCCTGCCCCAGGAGCAGCACCACTGCACTCACGCTCTCAGTGCAGCTAATTTCCTACTCTCTTTGATCTAGCTCAATTCAGCTTGCATTGCCCTCCCGTTATTTATGTAAATGTTTAGATTAGGTAGCATTTTGTTCTACAGTGAATGACACCATAATCCTCCTTATTCTTTCCCTTTATCATAAATATTTGGTTTGTTTTTAGCTTGTGGGACTCAACACAACGTCGTTTTCATTACTGTGAAATCTTCCCCTTTTCTTCTCCTGCAAGCATCCCTGGTCCCCTGACAGTATTCTGCCTCCCAGAACATGCTAATATTGCTTGCATTACTGCAGGATTACTACAGTGAGGTATACACTTGGTATTATAATTCATAATGTTGCTTTAAAAGATTAACCACTCCCATGGCTGTGTCTGGTAATTACAGAGCAGATTTTTTTATAACAAAGAGCTGCATACTCAAAAAAAAAAAAAAAAATGTCTGGCAAAGAGGTGAGTGTTTGGGGTTTGCTTTATTTTTCAACCTCAGAGAAAGGCAGATGCAAAATTGGTAAAGGAGAATGAAGGTGTTTGGGTTTTTTTGGGGATTTTTTTTTTTTTTTGGCTTTTTTTAGCTGAGATACTTCAGGATATTAGTAATTTAGCAGATTTATAGGAAGGCACTGGCACTGTGGGCCTCTGGAATGTCACAAACAGGCTGATGCAATTGGCAATTGCCAGCGCAGACGAGTTCCCTGAGCAAACCCCAAATAATTAATAGATCTTCTGGAGTTTTCCAGGGAAGTGGCTGGACTGGTGAAAGAATAATAGTTAGTTTAGCCTGTCAAGGCTCATTCTTTTTCAGAACACCAGTCCTCCCTTGATGCCCTCTAATGGTTTTTTGAAACACCAAAATGGTTTTGCATTAACAACATTACCCGTTGTGCTTTAGTTAAATGCATTTTGATGTCAGACATACGCCTGGTTCAAAAACACCAGCTACCTGCCTCTTCCCGACGGGATCTCCAGGGAGAGCATCCAGATTGACTTTAATCGGCCAAAGACACAGAATAGTTCTTGTGCATTAGACCAAGAGAGTGTGCAAAGTCACGCTAATATGGGGAAACTCGATTAGCTCTTATTGAGGGATCAGGAAACAGGTTAATTSCGGAGTGACAAGACCATGTGTTTGTATAATAGCTTGTTTTTGTTTATTGAAAAGCCTTGGGGAGCATGGTGATTTTTCCTGTTGTTCCTTGAGAACTGTGGGTCTGGCACCCAGAGCATGACCAGCACTGCTCTTGCATCAAATGATGTTTCATCAATAAGTAGCACACTCATGTTTGACGAGGAAGGCCACTCTCCAAGTAATAACTTCTTCGAGACTTTGGAACTTGTCTTGTCCAAAGTCAGCTACTGGTGTGAGGATTAGAAATTTTGTACTTAAAGGAGGAGTCGCTCACTGTTTGTTAAACAAGAGCAACATTTAAAGGCTACTATATGATAGGGCATCACTTAYGGATTTCTCTGTCCTTCCCAGCTGGAGGTGTAATGGTTTCATGCTCTTACAGAAAATGCCTAAAAGACCTCAGAGCCTGAGGCAAAGTCCGTCAAAGCTGTTGGTGTCTTCCCATTCACTGGACTGGCCTTTGATCAGACACTAATGCACAGCGATAGTTATTCTATACCTTTTTCTGAACTGATTTAGCAGAGAATTGCTCCCTGCTAGCGAACTCCAGCAGTCCTGGTGAGCAGATCTGGTTTATTGACCGGAGCTCACCAGAAGGGGAGATGGTGCAATGAGGTCTGGCACGCTGTGGTGAGGAAGAGATTTAAGTTAGCTGTGAATTTACATGAGAAGTTCCCATCTAGTGGTGGGACTAAATACGAAGCTTCCTGGGAGCCTCCTATTTCTCTCATCCAGATTCCAATTCTATTTTTAGAAGGAAGCTTTTTCTTCCAGGAGAACAAGCTGGGGTGCTTTTCATCTCTCTCTAAATTAGCATCTTTAAAGACTTCTTGGTGCAAGTAAATAGAGGGTGGTTGGTGATTAAGATTGAACCTGGCTCTCTAGTTCAGTATCCGTCAGGGTAGAATACATCTACTTCTGTAGATGGACGCTAGGAGTAAACGTATCAATATACATTACAGGCTTGTCATAACTCACTCATTTCCTATTTCAAACAGGAGGAAATATACTTGAACATATCTGTTGTATCTGTCAAGACTTCTCATTTGTCAAACTATTAGTGGTCCTTCTGTCAACATAAATAAATCTGTCCATAAATCTTGACAGGTATAATCATTTGTTGCATTTGAAAGGCAAGTCTCTAACATTAGACCCCTTTTGATTCCTAACATGATTATCTTTAGAGAAAGACATTTCAGATGGCTTCTGAATCTGGCCTCTGTCAAATGATTTCTGTGCTGTTGCYGAGTTATCTACTCTTACGAAGTAAGCAAAGACATAGTTTCTGCTGTCAGCTCTCCTGAAGACCACACGAATCACTGGCAAACCATAGCAGCTCAGAGGCCCTATCCTGCAAGCATTTATGTTCCTTTCTGTCAGCCTGGGCTCCTGATATGCTTATTGCTCTGTACAGCTAAGTTTCTCGTTCCTGTACTGAACTGCTCTTTGGCATCGTTTGTCTTCTCTTTACTTTTGGGAGGCTATCAAAGAACAGGTCTTGAAGGTATTTCATCTGAAGCTACCGGTCTTTTCAGCACTGTTATCATTAGGAAATGATTCCTATACATACAAAAGAATGAATCATTTGAAACAACTGTTTAAGACTGGGCTAGGATAAGTAAAGATAGAATTCCATAATATCAACACATCCTTCGTAATCTCCCCTGCAGCCCTGATTTGGGAAAATGCTCTTTGAGCTGCTCTAGTCTTTCGGGCACTCTAAAAAGATACGAAGAACCTCATTTCTGTACTTAATGGCCTTATGTTACTAGTTTTGACTGCTTGATTAAGCTAGGAATGATCCATCATTCACCACTCTGGAAAGTGAAGTGAGGATCTTTGGCTAGAGTTCAGTGTCTAAGTAGACAAGTCAGGCATATGACTCAGAAATTGGTCTGTACACAAGCGCCAGAAGGCGGCCAGTGAGTCCACATGGCTTCATAGCGTTCCCTTCCACAGGGAAAGCCAAAGCACATGCTTTTGCAAATCAAAACTGCTCAGGCCAGGAAGCTGTGAGGGTTGAGTTTCTGGGAATTGCCTCAGCAAAGAGAGGAACCCTGGTGAGTTCCTGCAAGGGCCAAGGTACTGATGCAGCTGGAGCATCACAAAACAGGTCCAAATTGCACAGCCCTGGGAAATAAGCTAGGGAATGCCTGGGGATCCCAAATCTAGTGTTTTCAATTCAGTTTTCTGACAGTAAAGAGAGAACAGCTCTAGCATATTTCTTAAAATGTATTTTGAGTTTGTTGTTTTTCTTTTGTTCTTTGCTTTCATGGGATCTTGGCATCATGTAGGATATTTCCCACTTTCTTCAGTGGATCCTTACCAATGAAACTAATTTTCTGATGACCTGCAGAAGAAGCCTGTGTAATGTGAATGATTATTTCAATGACAATCCCTTTTGCTCCTGTCTTTCTGATACTTTATACAAGGATGTTCAGATGCAAGAAATGTCAAAATTCTTTTAGGAAGCAGTTTTTAAGTATGACTCCTTTCTGAATCACAGTTCTCAATACAGATAGTTATTAAAAAGCAATATATTTCTGTGGCACATCCCAATTTAGAATAGTGTTTTGTTAGACTGGACAGAGCAATAGACATAGCTTGACATATTCACMTGGTAGACTGAGAGTGCGGGGACTTTGATCATTCTTTAACCTGTAAAGCAGAGAAGCTAGAGAGGTATTGAATTAAATTAGTGTACTGAACCTGTTCTAGTTAAAGTACTTAGAAATATTTAGTCAGAGAGGACAATTGAGTGTAATCTGACTGGCAAAAGAGATTAAGACTCCTGGTTTGTGAAATTGTTGAAATTTAGGTGATAAGCAGCTTGCTGATACGTGTGTTTCAGGGCATATGCTTTACAGCAGAATACGAGTGCATTTGGTTTCATACCAGCACTTACATGCGCTGATAAAATTGGAAGGTTTGCAGGATTTGGCAGTCACGGAGTTTGCRGTTCTAAGAAGCTAAATTATGGAGTGAATGCTTAGGCTTGCCTAAATCCAGTGCCACAGCCTTTTGCGTCCTTGCCCATCTGTGCTCCCTAGGGTGATAGTATCCTTTAGATCTCCCTGCTGCTGTTTCAGAGCCTCCTTCTCTAGGCCAGCAAGGATGATGGGCTTTATGGTTCTCTCTTCTGTTGACTGGCAAGATGTTACTTTGTCAGGTAACAGACTGCTGTTGCCTCCAACTGCAAAGCTCGCTGCATCTAGAGTATGGTGACACATTCTGAGCAGCTTCTTTTATGCATTAACCTACTTGGAAACAGAGGCTCATGTGCAAATTCCTTCTATATTTTGTGAAGGATGGAATCTAAGCCAGATCTGAGCTGAACCTTTCTCTTCCAAGAGGGAGTTGAACCAAAATCCCATGAGGCATCCCCAAATTTTATGGGTGCAAAAGATGTCTTGATCCAAATTTTGCAGTTTGCTCCCATCTCTACTTAAAACACAAAATGTATGTTTTTAGGGAAAAAGGATATAAACATCTTGTTCATGTTTGAGCTGAGAATGTCTTTTTTTCTGTAGGCTGTCAACACAACTTCAAATGCATGCAGCCTGTCCAATCTGACAGACAATTTGCATATTTGTGGAATGCTAACGCCAAGTTACTGTATATATTTGTACATGAAAGCATTAGAAAGTTTGAAGGATTAAAGGTGGAAATGTATCCCCCTCGGCCTCGATTAAAGATCAAGACGGCACATCAATAGATGGCAGACAAATAACTGCTGCTTTGCCATTTGGAATGGCTTACCCCAAAATAATAAAATCCAAACTATTTCCTAGCACATAAATAGCTTAGGGCTTTACACGTGCTAATTGCCTGAGTGTTGCGTTAGTCTTTTGAGAGGGTAATGCGGAGTCTGGCACATTCWCGGAGAGCCCTTTGACACCATGACCGTCTCTTTTGCTCCTTCTCCAGCACTGGAGAGCTGGGACACAGCTGGAGCACGGAATGCTGCCCAGCGTGAACGCATAAGCGTCCAGATCTGCACCTTCCACGGCCTCTCCTAGGGCCTTGGAAGGATCACTCAGGCCAGCTGGAGATGCTTGGGCTGGATAAAAGCAACTTGGTTTTCAGTTAGATGGGTGTCAGGAGGAGCAGCCTGTGCTCCGTGGTGTCTCATAGGACACTTGCTTGGCTGCGTGCATCCAGATGTATCTTGGAGACTGGCTTTGAAAATGGAAGCTTTCAGTCTTCAAGCAAACGAAATATTCAAGAACTCATTTGCATGGTCCTACCTAAGAACCCAAACTGTTATTAGTTATTTTGCCTTTAGGAAGAGCTAACCTCAATGAGACATTCTGTGTTGGCCAGTGCACATAATTTAGGAGGAGACATTGGCAGCACAGGACAGAGAAAGCGGGAACTAGTCAAATCTTTCCCCTAGCCTAGCCTAGATCCAAACCATGAATATTTATTTGCTTCAGGAAAGGGCTGGCCAGCCTTTCTGGTGGATGCTTGCATGTCTCCGTGCATTCTGGCCGAGATGGAGTGGAAGTGGCACAGCCTCAGAATACCTGGGAACCAAGAACTGAAAACCCTCTTGGAAACATCTCATGGTCTAATGAAATTCCTGGGCCAGGATCCAGTCTGAACGGATGCAGACAACCAGCCAAACTGAACCACCGGTTCTGCAGAGATTCAGCCATCGTTGGTGATGGATGGGTGGGATTTTCAAGGAAGTTTGCAGAACACCCAAATTTGCTGACCACCCAAATCCCTTTAAATTTCAGTTGGAAATTCAGCTCCTATCTTTCTTATGYGCTAGTGAAAATGTTCATCTCTTTAAATGTGTTTTAAGACTTTAGGTAACAGTCACCGATGGGAGGCTTCTGTGGCTAAAGATATGTAATTTAACCCACTTGCACAAAAAGCCCCAGCTTAGCCCAAAGCTCCAGGCCACACAGAGCCCTGTGCTGCCAGTAGACAGGTTTAACTTAAGGCACCTCAGTTTGAAAACTTTAGCCTTAATGCGCTCGGCAAGAGCGTGTTGTTGTTTTAACGCACATTACCCAGCCCCRAAGATGCCTTTCTACTGGGAGCAGCGCTGCAGAGCCGGATCCAGCGCCGATCTGACAACTCGTGTGTAGGAAAAGCCCTCTCATGCATTCACAGTTTAAGATGACCTCCATATATTTGTTTAAAAAATAATTAGGCTTGCTTAGCTCTTGTACTGTTGCATTGGCTTTTTTGTCCTTTTTTTTTTTTTTTCCCCCTCTCCTCTATTTTAAAGTAGCTTTTCCTGTAGCACTCCCAGGCCAGTACAATGCTGGCTTTTAGAAGTGATTTGTCTGTTACCAGGCTCTTTTAAACTTTTACCTCCTAAGTCCTTGCAAACCAGCGATACAAGGAAACTGCAAAATCTCCCAGGGATTGTATGCATAGTAACAGTGAAAACGTAAAATGTTGCTGCAGCAGCCACGTTATTTTTCTTGTAGTAGAAACAATACCAACAACTGGTGTCTATATACAAACCAGTTTAAAGCTACCCATAAAAATGACTAACAAATGAGTGCTACATTTATTTTTATCATTTGCTCTTTATAAAAAGTAACAGTTTGAAGACTACTAATTTGGCAAGTTATTTCCTCTCCACAGTCTTGCTTGTTCGGTAATTAAACTATATATAAAGCACAGATACATCCATGTCACTGTGGTCTAACTTCGTGTGTTTTAAGAGACAATTCAGTTCCCCACCAACCCTCTACTAAAATAATCAGTAGATTTCAGATATAATTTTCAAGAGCACTTTCATGACTTGCAAGCTGAAGCCCTATTTTCTTCATGTGATGCTCCAAAATTGTTTCAGGTGAGGACATTCAAAGGCATTTGGTTACCCAAAGGCATACAAGAGGATTTTCTCCCATGACTAGACAAATGAATTCTCAAGCCCAGTTGAAATCAAAAATTTAAACATTTAAATATTATTAATTACTAATGCTTATTTTTCAGAAATGTTTCAAGTCATGCAGGTTCATCACTAGGTAAGAAGTTACTTTTTTAAGATCTGGTTTAAAATTTAAAATGCTGCTGGTTGATGTCTAAGCACCTCAGTTACTTTTAAAAATGGCATTTGTGTTCCTAGATGACTTTTGAAGTCTGTTTTGAAACGTTAGCTTGGTATTTGATCATATATTTGCTAGGAATCACTTTTTTAACTACTTGTAAGTATAAAAACACCATTTATCTGGAAATAAATAGCTAAAATAAGACTCRGTTTAGTCAACATAAAGACAAAGCAGAAAACTTAGTTTGAGAAACTGAAATAAGACTGAAAAACCTTACTTAAAACAGGACTTTGGGAACCTGATGGTCTATTTGGGCTCCCCTCAGAAACTGGGGCTAGAATTGCAATGCCCATGGAAGTAGCACTGGTCCATAAGAGTGAGAATGAAAGTAGAAGTTTCCAACACAGAAAAGGTCTTAGTTCTAGGTACTTGGTCACCATTAATGGGAGAAAAGCTGCAGTAATGTATATAAAACAAGTAGAATTACATCTCCTTTCATGACAAAGAAGTAGTCTTTTCTTTCAAGTTTTCTCAAAAATTCCCAGAATATACTACATTGAAACTGCTCACTTGAGAAATTAAGCACCATATGTGATAAGATAGTCATGTGAAAATTTTAAGCTGTCATTTAAAACAATTGTAATTAGGGCAAATTCTGGAAATGCTTCAAAAATGACACCCTATTTAATTAAAAATTAAAGGGTGCATTGCATGTGTGCGTTGCAGGGCTGGGATTTGCATGTGCACCTCCACAGCAAAATGCAACTCATCCGAGCAGCTGCAACAGTCACAAAATCTCCCTGTTCCTCCTGTGCTTTTTCCTGTGTTGAATAACTTAAATTACAACTTGGTGCTGCATATGACTTTTACTCGTCGTCTTGGTTCAATTTTCAGGGCAGCCAGTGCCTTCCTTCTAGCCCCAGCATCAGAAATGCTGGAGTTTTGTATCTTGATTTTTTACTAGGAAAAGGTAAATTAAAAAAAAAAAAAAGAAAAACTATCTCTTGTCCTTATAAGAGAAATTTATAAGAGTACTTATAAGGCACTAACTTTAATAAATAGACCTTAAAGATTGCTTTTTAATTGTGAATTGCATGTAAAAAATGCATTTTTTCTAAGGTGGGCCACAATTTTTTCAAGGATGGTCATTGAGTCCATCTCTCGCTCTCGGGGTCCCAACCAGACTCTGCACCCTTGGATGTGGCACTTTGGATTTGGATTGGTACTGCTCTCACTAAGGTAGGCCAGGAGTTTGTCAATGATTTGGGGCTTGCAGAGGGTCCACAAAGAGCGCTCAGTAGAAATATCCTTTCCTCCTGCTTTTTCTAATGAATCTGTAATACTTCTATTTAAAATAAATTAAAGGCAAGGCCATAATACTACACTGCAGTTTACAGCAAGGAAAATAAAAAAAGCCACACGATTCATACCTTTCCAGAGGATTACTARAGTGTAATTATACTAACACGTTACCTTCTTTACAAAACCTTTTCCCTAGGGCAAAATAAATAAATCTAAATAAAATGGATATGTGTGGAGTTAGTACATCTCCTATTTTATTAATTAGCACCTGAGAAAAGTGGTTTTCCTCCTCGTTGCCAAGCCAGAAAGAGCACTGATGAATTTTCAAGCAAAGCAATGAATGCCAGGTTTATTTCTTTATTGGTACCTGTGGATTCTGTTGTATTGCTTGTTAGCAGATGCAAGTGGGCAATATAACTATTACATCAGGCAATAATATAGAAACCCAGGCAGTTCCTAAGCAACAGCCCAGCACCGATTCTTGCCAGCTATTCTCTAGGATTCCCTCAGACATGGTAAGTGAAGAGAAGTTGGACAATATAGTCTAATTTTGAGAAAGGAATAAAGCATGAAACTGGTGATTTTCCAAATCTTATTTTTGCAGATTTCTTACAAAATCAAAAGAGCTAAAATTGAGAACTGTCAAAAACATTTCAGCTCAAGAGCTGCATAAACTTTTCTATTGTTCAGGCAGCTAAACAGACACAGCTATTTTGCTTCATACTTTGCCCAGGCAAATAACAAAAAGTAGAGATCATAATAATAGAGCTTCTTTAGTGTGTTGAACTGAAACTGGATTTCATGTTGTTTCYTTTTGCCGGCTCACTCATCGGTTTTCCCTTAGAATAAAACGTTTTTCATCTGTTTTTTATGAATTCCAAGGACAGTTGAATTTGGACACTGCTGGAAAAATTCATAATGAAACATTCTGTTTCAACCGGATAGTGTGTGTGTGTGTGTACGCATGAGCACGTGCATGCATAATTTTGCATGTACACAAGGTAAAAATATATATTTCAAAGCAATGTTCATCTCGGATGTCACTGAAACACAGTTTCTTAGCCTACATTTCACATATTGCACATAGGACATCTGCTTTAAATGTAAGTGCTTCAATGAAGCAGCAAAGCTGGGATCCTTTTCATTATCCATAACTTTCTCTGTAATGGACCAGTCCAAACCTTGGACTCTTTCTCTGTGCTTGGAGTACATTRTTTCCACGCTTTGGTTTAGCCCATTACGGAGTTACGTGTAAAGTTCAGACTTRGAGCCAAGCTTCTAGGAAGGACAGAGTGCTTTTATCTGAGGAGGAATAATGCCCTTTTAGAAAACAGTTTATATTTAGAATAAATAAGAGCAGACACAGAGGCAGGCACTCACACACTTGCCGACACAAACGCACCCGCTTTCATCAACACRAACAAGAACAAACTCTTGCAAACCAGATGTTGGCTGGGTTTAAATGCTCTATTGGCTTCCACACCCCATGTAAGGTTCTAGTCTAAGTGAGCAGAGCGAGCTGCTCGTGGTGCTCCCTGCCCCACCTTGCCTGGGAAATGATGGGTTTCTTTGCTGGAAATTTTGACTTTTCAGTGGAGGGGAAAAAAAAAAAAAAAAAGAGTAAAACTGTCATTTAGGTGGGAAGACAGGGGACAAAAAAGCAAAGTTTTTTACCCAGTAATGCCTCAGTGTCGAATATCTCAACAGAGCATTTTGTTTTGGAAATGTCATCAAACTTGCTGGTGACACTTGTATCCTGTGCCCTTTGAACCTCTGTTTCGTACTGCGCTGAGCTCTCCTCCTCTGGTTTTACAACAGTGAATTAAGAGTGTGTAGGATGGAAATATCGGATTTCTGGGAATCACAGGGTGCGTGGCCAAAGCGGGGAGAGACTCCAGGCTGGAGCTCCAACAAGGCGCCCCAGCAGCGCGTGTGATTCCATGTGTTTTCTGCTCCATTTCTGCAGAGCTGTTCCATTTTTCAGGTGCTAGATATTTTTTCACACAAACAATAAAACATGCTCTAAGAAACAGACACCTTTTGCCCCCCAGAAAAAAAAAATAGTGGGTGAGGGAGGAAGGGAAATGTGCATTTCAATGAAAAAAACTCATTTTCTGCTAGAAAACAGTTTKGGTGAAACAGAGGCACTCAACCATAGAGCTCAGTCCGCACAATTTCCACGTGTTTCCATCCACTCCTCCTTCCCTTCCCCTCCCCAGCTCAGAACCATTCTCTGTCTGGCTGATATATGTTGACATGAGAATTAAATCACTAAGAAGTATGAATGCTTTAGCTTTAGCAGAAAGCCAGGTTACTATTCCTAGCATGGAAAGTTAAATGAAATCATGCTGTGGAGTGAATTCCYATTGATTTCTTCAGGATTGATCAGAAACATTTGTCAAACTTTTGTTTTCTTTCTGTCCTACATCTTCTTTGGACACATAGTTAAACATACTAAGGAATGTTTACATTTT